ACTGGGATAGCAAAAGGTGTCTTCCAAAAACTAAGCAAAGTAGTAAGAAACAGAAAAAAATTCGTTGGAAACAAAGAATATTGAACTGGAAAATCTCTTAACAGATGAAGAAGAGACTTAAAACCACAGAAAAGTGGTTCTACAGAAGTATGTTACGAATACCTTAGACCGCACATTTGAGCACCGACGAAGTTTTAGATAAAAATGGAAAAAAAAGGAAGGAGACTTATACTTAAAATCTGGAAGAGACAGTAGAAATTTCTAGGGAACATAAAGAGGAAAGAGGGTTTTAAAAATATGATACTCAATGGACAGAATGCAAACCCACCTACCTAATGAGCTTGTGTAAATTGATGGCGGAACAAGGTTTAGGAGAGATATCAAAAAGATAAAATTTATTAAGAGCTACAAAGGATAGGAAATTGTGAAGAGCCATGATCACTTATGTCCTGAAGTGACACAGCACACAGAAGAAGACGAAGGATAAAATGTGTGTCTCATCTCCGCCAATTTCGTGACACAGGTCTTAAAAGTTTGTCCTATTTAAAGAGTCATACCCATTTAAAGAGCAGATAAGTCTTACAATAAAATCATGTGATAGTCATACTCGACAACAAAGTGGCAGCCATTATATAAGTATGAAATGCTACCCAAAAGTTGATCGAATGGGAACTTAAAACCTAAAATACTGGCCGTTTATATTTCACTATATAAGCATTGAATTTCTGAGATGAAGTATTGCACTGTAAAAGAACTTATTGCCCAGTGGATAAAAAAGTTGGTTAAAGGAATCTAGTGACTTGATCCAAAAAGTCGTGAGTTCAATATTTGGGCACAATGTGAAAAAAGACTTGAAGATTTGAGTTACTAAAGGGAAATAACTGAAACTGAGACACAGAAAAATCATGGCACGTAAAACAAGTACAATTTACCCACCTATGTATAAATAGTTAACAGCCAAACTGAGGTCAAAACACTATGTAAGTGTAAAAATTGCTTTTAATACCAGAAATACTTTGTAAAAATTATTACCACCAATAAACTTTTGAAGGAAAATTATTACCAGTAATACATTTTTGAAAAAAAATTACCAACAATGCATTTTTAAAAAATATTAACAGCCATAAAATCTTGTCAGCATTAAATAACTCATTGAGGTTGATATGCCGTAAAACAAAACAAATCAAACCAAAGAATATTGGTATTGTTTGGTAGAAGTAGTAAGGAATTATTAGCTGTCTGGCTTACATGAGTGACGCCTACTAAGGGAATCATTTGCCAGTTGCTGAAATGATATATTCGGTGAATGAGATATAGAGTAATATTAGTTGATAAAACGCATGGGAGTTTCCTCAAACAAGACAATGAGAATTAATAACAATTACGTAAACAGCTACGGAACAGCATATTTTATTGCCTTAGCAAACTAAATATAAAAAATCAAAAAAAAATATATATATATATATATATATATATATATATATATATATATATACCTCCTCCAGCTGGGTTCTATAGCCTAGGAGAAGGACAACTCTGAATTCAAACTCGGAGTTGAGCCCCTAAGGCGGATGGACGGCACTTTGTGCTACCTTCCGGTAACTCCTGCAGTCGCGCTGGTATCAAAATGTATTGGTTTATCCTCTCCTTTGGACTGTGCTAGCAAGGCCGAGAGGGGGAACCTGACGTCCGGGCAGCCCTAGTTCTCCATATATCCCGCCCTTTCATTTTCTCACTGAAACCAAGTAGTGTCTTTCGACAATCAAAATGGAATCATCCATCATTTATGAGGTATTGGTAAGAGACGTTAAACATTTCTATCTTTCTTTTTTTCGTTTTTTTTCTTTTCTTTTTTTGATTTTCTCACTGAAACCAGATAGTGTCTTTTCCCCTCTTTAGGCACAAAAATGAGTTAAATCGATGTTTATTTCTGATACCAAATTTGCCTAT